TGCAAAATCCTTGGACGTCAACTATGTTGAACTCGTGCGCCAAATCCCTTGAAACCACTTGAAGACGATAAACCGTTGCTGCTACCGGATGGAGAGGAGACCGCACACACATCTTGTTCTTGAGCGTGAGAACCCAGTGAAGGAACGAGCCGAGAAGCATGGTCCTCAAAAGAATACAAGAGAGGACTGTCGACTTCTGCATGTGCCTCGGAATGAAGGGAGGTCGCTCGCAAAGCAACCGGTTCCGAAGGTGTCGAGAGTGCAGCCGCATCACTCTCGGCGGTGCTCACTTTCGTGAAGGGAATTTCCCTTTGACTTGCGTGGGGCACTTTGCGATGCCGTGCACTGCGTTGTTGCACTACAAACAGTATGAGTACTTAGTATGGATATGGTAGACGCTTTCCGAGGTACCGTAATGTGTCCAAGGCTCTTGAGCTGCTGGTTCGGTCCCTGGGGATGAATTGGTGTGTGTCTTCGATTTGTCGTGCCCTCGACCTTTGGCGGGGCTGCCCCCATCTTGGGCGGCTGCTATTCTATCTCCTTCATCAAAAGAGCCAGCCTCGTTTGAAGGGTCGGTCGACGTAGTTGTCGCGACCACGGCCACTTTCGGTCGATGCTGATCTCTGCCCTGGCTCGCAGCAGATGAATGGGCCAAATTTTTGTCTTCCGTGTTTGTCACGATGATCTACGAGGCTTTGTCGAGAAGCTGCTCACTTGTGGTGAGCGTCTCCGTAATTTGCATCAAAGTGTTCTGCAACGCCAGACAACACCTCGTGGTGAAGAAGCGCTTGATACCCGGAAAGGTCATCGGCAAGTTGGGCGTGGACGCCAAGCGTTGGTATTCGGTGATCCGATCCGCGCTTGGCAGTGTGTTCTGATAGAACTTCTGCAGTTTCTTTGCCGCCTGAAGCTCGGGCGGCTCCACTTGGAGCTGCTTGTGCCATGCTGCCTTGAGATCGGGCCAAATGATTTGTGTATGCAGCTCGGAGATTGCGACAGTGTGTGTGGATAACATATTGTCCAACCATGCTTGGCACGCCCCCCCCGGTCGGGAGTATAAGTACGCGTGTCGGTTGGCGTCGCTGACTCTGTGGATGTCCAGCTTCAGTTCGAACTGGCGGCACCAAGGGAGCGGGTCCATCTTCGTTGCATCACAGAAGATCGGCACGCCATCAAACTTCGGGATGCTCTCGTGGGAAGTCGCAGTAGGACTGGCGGCAGCAGCGCAAATCTGTTGGTCAATCCGTTGTGTTGTCGTTTGTTGCTGTCGAGCGACGTCCTTGAGTGTCTTGTTTGTGGCCGCCTCTGCCCATTGCTTGAGCTCCTCCATCAGGGTCAGCATGCGGGCCTCATAGGCCTCGGGTGTTTCTCCAGGCTCCATGTCGCTTGTCTGTGAGTGGGTGAGCACTGGCATATACCGTCGGAGACTGACGTGACCTGCTGATGTGACGACTTACCAATGCCGCAGGCGTGAGAAGCAGTGGGAGGAAGAGAAGCGTAGAAGAGGTGGTGTGACAGCAGGGATGGGGTGGGGTGGGGTGGGGTGGGGTGGGGTGGGTGGGAACACTGATCAACCAGATAAGGAGCCACTAATCAAATTGAAAAGTTCGAACTTTGTTGAACTAATAATAAAAATAATTTTGAAAAATAAAAAAGATTTGAAATTGCAAGTTCGGCAGGTCTCCCAATCCCTAGCGGAAGAAATCCGAAAAAAAAAACAACAAAAATTCGAATTTCAGACTGCAAAGGATTTAATGATAGTAAAGAATAATTTTGGAACTGCAAAAGTAAAAATATTCTCAAGTCTCGTTAACTCCGAATTAAATATTTATCCGGATTAATTCCATATGAGAGTATGCGCAACAAGTTGTGATTGTGAGAATAAAATACCAAAACTTCATTGCAAACAGTGCAAAGAGAGATTCTCAAGAAATAAAGTTCGGAATCTTGAAATAACAGGAAAATTTATGAAATAAAGAAATAAAGAAATTCAAAATTCCCAGTTACTAATTCATGTGTGATTTAGAGAAAAACAAAAACTAATCTGCACAAAGAAAGATTCAAGAAAAATAAAATTTGAAATAACGAAGCAAGGAAAATTTTGAATTTCGCAATAATGAGGGGAAATGAAAATTCATGCTTCTAATTAATGCGCGTTTCGGTATTTATGAAAAAACGAATTATGCACAAAAACGAAAATTTGAATTAAAAAAAAGAAAAACGGATTTGTGAAAAGGCCGAATTTCGAAAATGTTCAGAATGCACGATTTCGGATTTATTCAGAAACCGATTTGCGCAAAAAAAAATTCTGAACGAAAAAAAATTCGGATTTTAGGTTAAAATCGCGAATGGGGGGGCCAGTCAATCGTCAATCAATCAATCAATCAATCAATCAATCGATCAATCAATCAATCAATCAATCAATCAAACAATCAATCAATCAATCAATCAATCAAACAATCGATCCATCGATCCATCGATCCTCCCTCGTCGCGCGTAAGGTCAGGTTTGAATCTTGATCCACACGCGGGGCTCTGATACCAATTGTAACATGCCTGATCGGGCAATGTATAGGAGCCAAGGATCTGCAAAGTGATGAAAAGAACTCATATGGACAATGCAGCGTCAACCAAGCATCAACAAAAAAGGGACATCCAGATACATATGAAAATAGCACAATGTAGCGCAGTGAAAGACTCGAAGATATGACCTGACCTGTCAGATACTGACGCGGCACCCCATCGTACACCACACATGTGAGAGAGGGAGGAGGGACCACATACATGAAAGAAAGGTCCCTCCTTGCGCACACACATGGGGGGAGATACCACGGGTGACAGATGGGGGGAGGCGATGTTGGTGTGAATACCCTTACAAGGGTATCCGCCCTGTTTTTTTTTGCAAGCTACAGAAAATAAAGTTTGGTTTAAGGTTTAAGTATACCGCGCGAGGTGCGACGGCGTCTGTGGTTTACGATGACTGAATGGTTGACTGGAGAAAATAGTGCGTCGGCGCGCAGATTTGAGGCGCGCGTGATCTTTCTAATCGTTGGTGATTGAAGAGTCGGCGTAATCACCGACCAGATTTTCATTTTCTTATTAAACTAGGATTAAAAAGATTAGGTCTCGTCGATCAGTATTGTTGCCTGTAACTCGTGAGTACGTGCGGAGGACGGCATCGACAACAAAGTGAGTATGAAAGCGCTTCGGTAGATCTGCGCGCCGCGCAATATCCATTTTATCTAGGTGTCTGACAAAACTAGACCCAGTCTTGGGCCTAACATTATCGGTTACTGCGTCGGACTTTCATAAAAAAGGTTTAGGAATCGAGACGGAGCGGCGGCGAGGCGGAAATATTAGAGTGGCGCAAGGGGACCGAGGGGTCAAGGGCCCGACGGGGCTATCCCCCTTGGTTTGGCAGGCGACGACGCCCGTTCGGTAGTAGTCTTTTCTAAATAATTCATTCAATTGTCGTATTCCTATTACTTATTATGCTCCGGCGTGCTGTTGACTTGGACACAACGTCAGACTTAATGGCCGTTACGGCAGTCAAGGACCTAGAGTGTGCGCCTCGTTTGACTATTCCGCATGTTTCGGGTGCTGCCGAAAGTCGTCTATCACGCCGCTATTAAGAACAGGGCACGGTCAGGGTTTGGGCTTGTAATTGCACTTGAGGTAAAAGGGGCGGTAATGCTGAATGTATATGATCTACGTTTCAGGCACGGTGAGGTTGCGTGGGGTGTGTTGTATTCGCGGAACTATCTGAAGTGTGATTTTCATGACCGCGCCGAAGTTCCCCACCATGGTATTTCAGGGAATCGCGTAGCAAGCCACGACCGTCCTCAAGCCGTCAGCAAGGGAACAAGCGAGAGTTGCACACACCGGCAAGTGCGGACCTGCTATGACGAGCGGGCGGTACCGGCCAGGTGCCAGCCGATAGGCATTAGGGTTGGGCTCTTTTGACGGGCTACTCACTGTGCCTCCCCTCCGGTCCCCTTCCCCTGTGAGCACCGACAGTCTCTACTTAGTGCCACCCGAGGGGAGGGACCAACGACATATCGTTAGGTAGCAGACGGTGGAGTTGCTGGCCGATACAGTGAGATACTGAGAGCCTGTGGCACGTCGAGAATCGCTAAGCTGCGCTAAAGCAGAAGGCGGAGATACTGCGAGACAGTGCGAGCGAGCCAGCGTGTGATAAATGTTGGGTGCAACTGGGAAATGAAAGAAGAACGGGGATGCGTTGGGCTAGTACGACGGACGAGGGGCGACGACCGGGGAGAGGGCAGGGCAGTAAGCCGAATTGTGATGGTGGATGGGTTGCTCTTCCTTGAGAAGGCAATGTTTAAGAGATTAGTTATTCCATCTAGGGAAGATTTGCGTAGTTTGTTTTTAGGAGAATGCCATGACGCAACGGGGCATTTCAGCTATAAGAAGACTTGTGCTAACTTAGTACAACGATTTTGGTGGCCTAACATGCTGGACGATGCAAAGAAGTACGTACAGACCTGTCA